CAGAGCTGCAGTTGATTGGTGCCATCTGACTTAAGAGAGCACAGCACCTCAAAGTGGGAACTGTGAAAAAAGCACTGAAGTGACAGTGAAGTATAAAGTCTCTTTCAAGTCAAAGGAGGAAAACAGAGCTGGATTTGTATTTTCAGTCACACAGCTGCCTTTCTAAATATTTCACATCATATATTTTTCAAGCATATAAGTTAAGCCTATGTCTTTGGCAAGGATTTTCAAAAGCAATCTAATTTTTCAAGGATGAGACCTAAAATTTGCTGGGAAAGAGGGTAAATGGTCACAAACAGAATCATTTAAGTAGAAATACACAAAATCACTATTAATTTGGAAGAATCACGTAGTCTTTTTCTTGTGTCCTTGTCTTCCCTGATTTCACAGCACCCTGCTGTAAACACAATGAACAGTGCACATCAGCCTAGGAAGTGGGAATGAAAAAGGTTCCCTAATGGAACATCTTACCTGGCTAATGGCTTCTATCTTTGCAAGCAATGCCTCTGTGTGCCTCCCCACAGTGCAGGCTCACCATCTGCCTGTGCTCTAATAAATGAACTCACATCACAAACACAGAGCACAAATATATTCATATCCTGAGCCTACTGCACCCAAGGGTCAGATGTTTTTGCAGTATGTATAACTAGCAAATGTTTGCTCCCAAATGTTTGAAATGGCTCACAGTCTTTCCTAATAACAATCATAACCAGTGAAAAATTCATCACAGCTATATTATGGTAAGATAAAACTCCTTAAAAAATACTTATCTATTTTCACTAAGTGTATCTCAGCAATATCTTTGCAATATAAAATTCTGCTTCCCACAGAGTCTTGCATGTATTACTAATACCACACACAATCAGATGCCACCTTCCTGCCTCCCTGGAACATCAGCCTAATTTTGGAACCTGCAGGCTTCCATTTCCAAAATTTCATTTTTCAGATGAACAGCTTAATTTATTATATGTTATCCCTGATCTGTGAAACTCGAGATTTTTTTTTGCTTAGAAATTTAAACATAATCTTACCATTTTTCCTTCACACACTGATGCTCAACACTGATATACTCTCCAAATATATATACATATAAATGCACATTTCAGCTAACTCTTCCATAAAGCACTTCCTAATTTGTAATTTGTGTCTCTCAGTATATTCAGATGTATGAACTGTTCAACAGATCAAGCAAAAAAAAAAATTATAACAGGTGAGCATATTAATGACATTTCCAATTTCATATACCAGTTTTCTCCTAGGAGACCAAGGCTGTATGTTTTACAGTGACTGCTGCTGCTTACAGCTGCTGGAGTTTCAGGTCTCACTTTTATAGCACTTGGTTTCATAGAAGTGATGCACAATCAACCATGGCTCTAGTATTATATTAATTACTGAAATATTCTGCCTTTGGAACCCAAGGAGCTTTCAGGTACCTGGAAGATGCACCTGAAATAGCTTTTTAGCTACCAAATGAACCGCATAAAACCTGCTGTGACACTATCACCTTAAAGTCCAAATGCTTTTTTCTCAATAGAGCATATTTCTAAGGAAAGAAAGCTCACCCATCCATACAGTACAGACACAATACCTGTGTGGGTTTCTGTCTAGCCCTAGCTTGTTGTCACACATCAGACTACATCAATCAAATTTGACAGAAGCTGTCCTTTGACAGAAAGGACACACAATGTCAGAGAACTCAAAGACTTCATACTTCTGTAAATTTGATGAAAATAGATGACAGTCAGACCTTACCCATGCCCTCATTAACATCATTCCTTAATACATGATGTCCAGTTCCAGGAGAAGACATCAAAGAATCCCACACTGAATAGTGGCCTTTAGGACTCCCTGACTTCAGGAAAAACCTTAATCCAAGTTCAAACTTTATTAAACATCAGAGAATGTAAGCTCAGGGCACCAAATCATTAAAAAAAAAAGGGTTTTCTCAGTCCCACTACTTCAACAATTATTTCCTTCTATTCTAAGTATTGCTCAGAATAGGGTGTTGGCATAAAGGAACTTACTGCTTATGCTTGCCAAATGCAGCAGCTAGTTCATCTTAAGGGGAACAAAAAGCCAGTCTTCTTCAGACAATTGAGTCACCTCAGCAGCCTCCACTGACTGCAGACAAATCAAAGAACAATCAGGACATCTATTACAATCACAGCACAGTGGCTTGCTTGTGCAAGGTGAGCATGATTCAGTGCATATCTTCTTTTTTCAAGTAATTTTAACAACATTATCCCTGATTACTACATCTCCCTAAGGACAGTTCTACCCAGAATGACTTGGGTTGGAAAGGACTTAAAGAGCATCTAATTCCAATCCCCCTGCCATGGTTGTTCCAAGCCCCATCCAGCCTGGCCTTGAACACTGTCAGAGAAGGAGCACCCCCAACTTCTCTGGGCAACCTCTTCTGGTGCTTCACCACCCGCACAGTAAAGAGTTTTTTCCATACATCTAACCTTAATTTTCCCTCCTTCAGTCTGAACCACTAACTCCTTGTCCTATCACTGCAGTTTGTTCAAGTAAGGACACAAGGTACAGGTATTGCTGGCATGTGCTGCTGGTGAGCTTACTTGAGCTGGGGAAAGCTGAAGAGTTGGCAGAGTAGATCCCCTTTAGTCAGCACTGCAGCAACCACATGCATCCCATCTATGTCTCTATGTTACTATGTCTCACATGATGAGGCAAGGATTTCTTAAAGCTGACTCAACTTCCTCAAACTTTACCACAGTTACAAAAATTTGCCATGACTTAAAGTCCACAGAAGCAGAGTCATAGAAACTAAATTAACCTTTCTGGCCATTCATCTCAAAATAACATCTGCTTTATGAGAACTACAGCAGAAGATCTTTCTGGCAGGGGCATTAAAGCATGCTACTTCATTTTGCAGGTCTGACTGGAAATGAGACTGAATGAGATATAATAAAAAAGTTAGAAATATTGCACTCCATTTAACATGCTGGTACACAAAAAAAGTGTACACAGAAATACTGAAGCTATAGCCACACACAAAAGCATGAATTATTGTTCTGGCAATGGTTCAGTGTAAAAAGGAGCTCAGTGGCTGTCTGAGTCTATTAGCTAAGTCTGTTGGGCTGACTCAGGTCTTCTGATTAATATTTTTGATTCTTGCCTATATCTCATTTCCTTTTGGGGATGAGCAGTTCATCGCACTTGGATTTGCATGTGATGACAAGCACACAGCCCCATGAGATAAGGCACCATGCAAGGCATTCCTTCAGTCGCATTTATGTGCTGTATACTCCAAAAGGAACAAGCCTGCGGTCCTGAAAGGCACTTGGAGTTACAGGCTGCAAGCACCACTAAATATCAACCGTGCTCAGACTACACATGGTCATTGCAAAACTGCCATGCTAAAGATGAACATGTGCTGATGAAAGCCACCAAATAATGATAACTCAGATTAGGATAGTGCTGTCATCATTATATCTCTTTTTAGCAATAGCTTTTCATTTACTGTAAGTGTTACTGGATATTTATTACTAGCATGACAGAAAGAGCTAATGGGTTGCACAGCAGGGGCCAGCAATGCATAAATCTCTGGGATAATACTCTCCATAAAAAAAAGGAGATGAGATGTAATAACCCTTCTCAAAGGGTCATTAGGAGAATTGTGAATGATTTAAGCTTTTTTTTTTCTCAGAGGCCAAAGATTTGTGATCTGTTGCAAATTTATTTCTAACCATATCAACTGAATAAGACCTTTGGCAGCTCCAATTTGTTAAAGAAAATTTGACTGGTTAATTTTGTAACATTAAGCTTCAGGCTGGAAAATTATTACTTCTTTCATTTCATGCACAATACACCCAGTGCTAAGAGCCTGGAAAAAAAAAATCATTATTATATCCTATGTCATAAACAGAGGGAAAAATCACCTCTGGTCCACATCAGTGTATGACTGGGTCATCTAACAACACACAAGTCCAGTGGAATGACAGCTTGAGTCAAGCAATCACATACTCATATATACAGCCAGAGATTGAATCCCTACTCAGAACAGGGCCACCCTCACACTCACAGGATGCTCAGGGCCTTTTTCCAAGTCCTTCCCAAGACTTTCCAAGTCTTTTTCTTCAGTCTTTTTCCAAGTATTCCCAAGAATGAAGGCTCCAAAACTTCACTGGGGCCTGCCCCAGCATTTGATCTCCCCTGAGCATTTCACTGGAATTTCCCCAGTTGCAAACTGTGTACATTACACAGGATCAGCACAGGCCATTGCACAAGGCACCGGATGCTCCTGGCCTTCCTCTGCTGCAGAGCAGCTGCTCAAAATGCAGGTTAAAGACCCAGGCATGATTTTGAAACTACATCATCCAAGAGCACAGAAAAGGTCCTGCAGTGCAAAGTGCCACAGTGCAAAGAGCTGTAAGGAAAGGATGAAGTTCCTTTGAGCAGTTACATCTGCAGCAGCAACAGTACAGTGGCTTTTAGTGGCAGCAAGAGCAAAGACCAACACAACTTTCCTGGGAGTGATGGAAAAGAATTAGGACCTCTGCCCAGGAAAGAAGCAGCTGACTACACTGCATATCAAAGAAATACTCCTGACTTGCTGATTTCAGTTTCAAACAAGAAACTGACTTGCAAAACTTCAAATATTTCTGCACATTAAATGAATAACATCTTAAATTATTTAGGGATAAATACAACCTTATCCACTAACATGCTTCTTTGAGCATGAAATCAGATAAATTAGGACCTAATCAGATCAATTAGGATCTGCCTTAGAATATAAACATTTATTTACACATCTAAGTGCTGAGTATATTAAAAAGATACCATTATTAAAATATTAAGGCAGCTTATACTATACTGCTCACTGAGTCTGTTTCACTCCTGTATCTGAGAAAGTACACACAGAAGTCCGACAAGTACTGAAAGTGAATGAAATACTATAACAAGCCTCAAAAATCACAAGTGACAGGAAACACAGGATACTTATTTAAAAATAATTTTTAATAAAAATGGAAGTTTATTTATATGCTTTACATGATCCTCCAACAATGTGGCACAGGTTTTATTTTAGAAGCAGGAATACAGATGCTCAACAGGTTGCCTGCATCACTTAACAGTCTTAAAATTGAATTAGAAATAGAATTCATGTTTTGTATCCTAGGATGGAAACCAACAAGAGGTCCTGGATGCCAACAGTTTTGGTTCACCAGAAAGATGAGCACACAGCTTATGTACTAGTTTCCATTTCAAACAAGCAATGCTGTTGCTGATCAGCAAGAACTTATGTCTCCCTGAAAGGCTTTTGAAACTTGCTTTGAAGAAAAACTCTTGGAACACGCAAGTCTTCTTTCCTATTCACAGTTTCTCGCTGCACATATTCATTGACCACTTGCTCATATCCCTCAGCCTTGAAAAGCTGAGATAAGAACTCTGAAAGAGAATTCAAAAAAAAAAAAAAAAGAAGACGAAATATTATATTTAAACTATTTTTAAAACACCAGACAGCATTTATATAAGCATATGTTCTTATGTGTTACAGCATGAAAATCACACAAGCCTTCAGATTTCAAGCTGTTCTATGTGGGCAGACTGCTGAATAAAAATCAATAAAGATCTCCTTTGGAAACATCAACCTAAGCAAAACAGCTTGTAAAACTGGGACTTAAGCTAGTTACTCAGTTGAATTTACAAAAATTGCCACATCTCTTATTTTTATTAAGCCTTGTCATTCTCATTGTGACTGATACCAGTGCATTTTCCCTCTGTGCAGCTGACCTTCACTAGCTGAATACATCACTTACCACAAATATTTCAAAGGTATTCCAGCTGTGCAGATGCACCTCTGCTCAGGGAAGAATAACATCCTATGTTACATGCAATTGCTCAACAGAAAAGCTGACAAAAGGGCCAAGAGGATATGGTGGTACCAAGACTCCACTAAGTTGAACTGAAAGTATTTTCCATAAACAAAAAAATTTCACTCAGAGCCTATTTCCCTTAAGGAAGGCAGAAGCACCTCACAAACAGAGTGACCTGAGCAGCAGGAAGGTCTGCTCATGCTATTGACTTGCCATGTTAATTAAAAATCATAATCTTTCCTTTCATGCACCTCAGTTCACTTAGGCAGCAATTCCACAGTAAATTTAAGTTGTTCTAAACTTGATAGAAAACAAAGACATTCAATTTTTCACTGCTCAGGGGGATTAGCTCGATGAAACAGTGATCATGTGGGTGCAGGAAGCACCACCAGAGATGGTGTGTTGAGGAAGATGAGATCACCCACTGTGGTGGCACTGCAGGATTATATCAACCCAAGCCCATCATGGCTGTAAACATGCTGTGTTCTTGTAAAATAGGCACCCACACCAATGAAATATAAATAAACAGCACTCCATTGTGGACCTATTGAAATCTTATTGTAAGGAAGTTGCACATATTTCATAATACAAAACTACAACCATGCATTCCTCCACAAATTTAATATTATTTCAAACAGTAGAAGAATGGATTGTTTTTCCCATGGAAGAAGTTTGGTGTTGCCATCTGCCATATTATAAACAAGTATAATTCAAATCACCTCATGCAGCAATAACTTGGTGTACCAAAGTAGTGCTAAAGAAATTAAAAATAGCAAGAGTTGCAACCTCTGTGGAAATGATAGGAGTCATGTCTCCAGTAACAAAAGAATTCTCAAGTATTAAGCAATGTTTATATGAAAATCTGTGAAATGAATGAGATCATAATGATTAAAAATGGGAACAGAGGTGATGTGTGAGACAGTCACAGACCAGCCCAAGGAAAAACAATTGCTGACACAAGCCATATAAAATAAATTCTCTCTTTTCTCCTTCCTTCCTGTTCCTCATCCCTACCTCAATTCTTTTTGCAAGGGAAACATGCATACTAGCAAGGAACTTCTCATTCAGAAACTATTCTAAAACACAATAAAAATTAGATTTAAAATTCCAGAGATAGGTCAGTCTCTTGTTTGCTCCCTTTAGCATCTATTCTCTTTGTAAGAGCTAATTGTTTAAACAGAGCTAAAAATCACTAAATAAATAACAGTTCTAGAAATGCTTCAATGAACTTGTAGCACTGCATTATCTTAAATTTCATCATTGTCCTATGAAGAATAGGGGGAGCTCAGACAAGATTAATGGTTTTTATGTATCAGAAGCAATTAGTCAATATGTTATGGCATGAAATATGAATAACATTTACTTGGCTCCAAATCGGTCTCTTCAGCAGCTGTATCTTGCTTTAGACTTAAAAACAAAGTACCCCACATAAATAAATTCACAGTTCTTGTTACACAATGTTCTACAAGTGATGGAGGGAGTAGTGAGTTTAACATGAGGAATAGGGAGTTAGAAGCTATAGCCAAGCTGTAAACCCAATTCATTGTGAGAGTCTAAGCAATTCCTTCGTGTCTCTGTGCTTCAAATTCTCCACCAGTAAACTGCAAAAACTACCCTTCCTCCTAAACCATTATGAGCACTGAACAAAAACTAAATACTGTATCACATGGAGATGGTTTTTTGCATTGTCTTCACTAAAAAACAAACCCTAGAAGACAGAGTGACCACAGCCAGTCAGTGCTATCCCAGCAGGATTTGTGCACGAGCTTCTCAGTGCCGCAGTCATGGTTCTGCTTTTAGACGTCAATAGATCTCATCCTGCTCACCTGCACAAAGAATGATGCCAAAAGAACTGCTTACTTGCTTCATGAAGATGATTAATTCTCTTACTGAACACAGCTCTTTTCCCCTTAGGTAACAAATCTGAATGAAATTCAGCTAATTCAGAAACTCCTGCTCCTGGAGAATTACAGCACATACAACAAGCTTATAAACAAGGAAGTGCTCCATGAAGTTCTGCCAGTCTAAATAATTGCTACTTCCCAAAAAGGATGGTAAATGAAATAAACCACAATTTAACAGTTCATCCACACAAAATAAAACTTCCATGGGCATGTTGGCAGTTTGCTGGAGAAAGTCTGAACAGAAGATGCACAGAAAAGAAAGCACTCTACAACATGTCTTACCTTCAGTAAAAAAATACGATCTTGTCCCATCTTGTCTGACATAAAAGTTTTCCCCAAGTTTGCTGCCTGATTTAAACCTGAGCATTGCATGATCATACAGGCCATAGTCTCGGAACAGGACACACTTGCCTGGTTTTAATACCTGTCACATAATACACACAGGCTTTAATAAGCTAAACAGATTTAGTCATACATAGGTATATTTATTTTTGTACACATATAGACACAGGTAACTAAGACAAGGTGGACTAGCATGGTCAATACAACAGTGAGATAGATATCTATATCTATAGACAGATATACAATTTATTCCCTGTGCCACAAAAAGGTGGTGCAAAAACTGGATTGACTCTTAAAAATATTTCCCTATGAATAAAAGACTATAACTAGTTTTGGAATACCTATTTGGGTACTGATAGCTAAATTAGCAACTTAGCAGTTAGCAACACTCTTCAAACAGAGAAAAAAGAAGAAAATACACAGTTTAACAAAAATTCCCATGAGGGCATTTTTTCTGTTAGCTAGTAGCCTGTTTGCTAGCACCTGATTTTGTTTAATGGTTAACAATAAAATTTGGAATATTGTGACATTTCTTTTCTCGCGGGTGAAAGAAACATGTTGCAATATGTTGCGAAATAAATAAGAAACCATTTTAGCAAAGTGCATAATGGGTTTTTAACATTGCTTTTTGGTAAAGAAAGGAAGCCATAAGGAGTTTAGAAATGATAAATACATGGTCATTGCCCACACTGATTTTAGGTATCTAAATACTTATATGAGGTAAGAACCAATCTTGATTTTGGAAAACAGCTGGAGATATACAAAAAAACCTCCTAATATTCCTTTTTCAAACTGCTGATAATAAGCCAAATAATATCAGAAAATACAAGACCCTTAATACACACATATGCAAAAATAAAAAACATACAGATTGTTTTCCTCTGCAGTCAATATATGACATCTCAGGAAAATTCAGAACAGTCACAGTTCAGTTTGTTTAAATCACCCTTTGGGTGGGCCTGTCCTAGTCTGCCAACTAACAAAGACAGCTTAGAGGGGTGAGTCTCTCTAGATTAATGCTGACTTCTGAACACTCCACTGTTAAATCACCACAGGTCAAATATGTTTCATAATAACAGCAACATCCTAACTGCAGGTCACTGGATCTCTGGAAGTTAATTTTGGCTCACTATCATTCACACCTTATGAACACAGACAGCTCTGTAATATATAAACATTATTCACAGCATACAGCCCAAGTGACAGCTTTAAAATCACAGAGTCAGAGAGTGACCTGGGATGGAAGGGGCCTGAAAGATCACCTGGTTCCAAACCCCCTGCCATGGGCAGGGACAACTTCCACCAGATCAGGCTGCTCAAAGCCCCATCTCTCCTGGCCTTGAACCCTTCCAGGAGTAAGGCATCCACAGCCTCTCTGGGCAACCTGTTCCAACACTCCCTAAAGAATTTCTTCCTACCATCTAATCTAAATCTAATCTTTACTTTGAATTCACTCCCCCTTCCTTGCCACTACATGCTCTTTCTTGTAGAAATCTCTCTCCATCTCTCCTGTAGGCCCCTTTCAAGTACATTAAGGCCATATATGATGTATATTTTTATTACACTGATGGCATGAATTAGGCCTCAATCCAAACAATTTCACAATACCAGAAGGAAAAAAAAAGGACATTGTAAAACATATTTTAGTCCTGCCTACTCAGTGAACTAATGAAATACATCCATGGAATATAATATGAAAACTCACCATTGCAAGAGAGTAATTTTCTCAGATAAAAAATACACTTTTGAGCTAAAAAGAAGGAAAGTGCTTTAAAGGCAGTAAAATCAGCTGGTTTTACCTTGTAAATGTTCCTCAGGACAAGATGCATTTTGTCAGGATGAATGGCAGAAAGCACAAATATAAGTGTGACAACATCCACAGAATCTGCTGGTATATTGTCTAGAAGATCATCTTTGGTAAGATCACACTGGAACACTTTACATCTTTCAGTACTATATAAGGCATTTTTCTAGGGACATTAAAAGAGCAAGCTTTCACTGAAAATTAGCAGCATTTGTTGCTACAATGAAGTAAAAATCTTGTGAAATTAATCAGTAGAGAGACACAAAACAGAGTGGCAAGAAAATATTAACCTCCAACGGGTGGTTACTGCTATCAGAAATTCTTTGCTGCTAACTACAGTAGTGAAACTACAACTAGTAGTTCCCATGAGTTTGAGAAGGAATATGCATTAAGACAATTCAGAAAACATACTATTTCTGTTTTACAACTGCATCTACTCTTTAAAGAATACATAAACTCTGTTGAAAGAAATTACATATTACAGGGTGATGAAAGTAAAGCTCCTGAGCTACAGGTAGATTGCAGACATTTGGGGTTTCTGTCACATAATTTGCAGCTGGGCTGTTCTAGCCCACAGGTTTGCTGTGGAAAATAAAAACCCCAGTCTTGGCAAAAAATAAATTCAGCAAGAGCTGTGGAGGCAGATGCCCTTAAATCATCCAAAACCCAGGGCACAGGCTCAGCCCAACCTCATCTTGGGGTGTAGCCACAGCATCCCAGGGAGCTGCTGTCCTCTTCTGTTTGCCACAGGCATTTTTCTTCCCATCTTTTGCATGATAAATGCTGTCTGTGCCTTGTGGTTCTTGGTCACAATGCTTTCAGTTAACAGATATATACAAATTTACCTGTGATTACAAACTTAATAATGGCTTTTAATGCCCAAAGCCCCCATCAACTCTGCTGCAGGGCTCCACTTTGGACTGCAGTACCCATAACTAAGTGTAAACATACCTACTGCTAATCAGGTTACAAATCCCTCTAACAATAATTCCCAGCCTTGTTTTTAAGGTTCTCCTTGGGACTCCCTCTATTAAGGGCAAGCTTCCATGACAAATGAAATTTTGCTTTTACTGCACAGTCAACAGAGACATAGTAGTGCACCCAAAAAACACTATCTTCATAAATCATTCAAGTAATATACCATAATGCTCTAATTTGACACTGAAAAGCCAAGTCTGGAGCAATGATTTGGCTTCTTACATAGGATCTCCACTGAAATGCATCAGTCTCAATTTTTTTGGCAAAGCATATCCCACCCCTCCTACAAAAAGGAAGCCAAGAGAAGTCTGTTGTTACAGTCATTTGTAATTTTAGAAGCTTCTAAAAAACACTCTAAAAGAAGTTCTAAATATCACACCAACCTTCACATACTCAACAGCTCTAGGAGAGAAATCACAGGCATATGCAAAAATATTCTTATCTTCTTCTAAGAGTGGAAACAAGCAGTTCCCAACCCCACAGCCTGCTTCCAGAATGGTCAGGTTTTGATCTGCAAACTGGGGAGGAAGCAATACAAGACAAAACATAATTTTTGTTTTCTCATCACATGAGCAGAGGCACTGTTCAACCAGTATTTTAAAAGCTAGAATCAATTTTAATTATGATTCTTCAAAAAAACTAAAGTAGACAGCCACTGCATAATCTGACATTAAAACCCAGACATCCTGAATTTCCAAAAAATTAGAAATAATTTTAGAACATATTAATATTTTTTCAGTCATCTATCTCTTAAGTAATCAACAGACTTGTGCTATTTCTGTCTTGTCTTTCACTCAGCTGTAAGGAACAACAGATGCATCTGGCTATTCCCCTTAACTGTGTTCAGCCTGCAGTTCTGGATGCTTTTCTCTAAAGCAGTGTACTGAAGAGCACCAGCCTGCACACACAGAGACAGGCTGTCTACTTTAGGACTCGAAAACCAAATATTCCAGACTGCACTCTCAGCATCCAGGATGCTATGAACAGCACCCCCATCCAGTAAGGGCCAAATATAAACTAGAACTAAACTGATGCATGTGATTCTGAGAAGTTATCTTTTTTATTAGAAGAAAACACACGTGGCACTGCAAACTTTACATGTGGCAGCTCTTACCCAAATGGCTTTGCTCTAAGTATTATTCACTCCCCTGGAAACAATCAATCCCATCTTTTACAGTAGAACTGTACAGATCTCACCTCACGACATGCCTTTAATTCTTGAAACTCCCTGGTTGTCCAATGTCTGTCCTTGAAGAAGTTGGTGCTGTTTCTTTTGTAAAACAGATCCCAGTTCTTCTGTGCCTCTTTCTCCAGTTTTAGCTGTTTGAACTCAGACACCAAAACCTGATCTTTTGCCAGTTTTTCTGCTTCTTCTGGGCTAAGGACTCGAGCATTATGGCCTTTCTTTTGGAAAGCACCATCTTCAGTAGATGTTGGTACTATATTTAAGCAATTTGCTGACACCTTTTCTTGAAACATCCTAGATTCTTTCACACAAACATGAACACCAAAGACCCAAGGATGATTTTTTTTCTTTAGTGTATGATTCCATCACTTAATTTAGGTCAAATAAGCGAGGATCTAGAAGCAGAATTAAAAATGAGAAAAAATTACAGTATGCACATACTACAACTTTAATGATTTGTCCTACTTGATGGACTTATATGTCACCAGATTTCTCTTAATTTCAGAAAACCTTCATCTAAGCTAAGAACTCTATACGACATCATACTGATGTCAAAGTTAAAGAGGATACTTCAGAGTCTCCTGGTCTTCCCTCTGCATTCTAGAAACCCAACAAGAAAAAGCTGGTGCAGCTCTAACATTATTTTCACTAAAAGAGACTTGAGAACGAAAGCAAGGGCTTTGTTTCTCATTAACCTCACTTAGAACATTTCAGAAAAAAAAGGTAAATTAAGAACAGACGACATTTAAGATGAATGTCATTCAAATTAATGAAACAAAGTGTATTCACATTAGCATTTCTCCTTCCTGCTCTCAGGTCCGTGAGAAAACACTGGTGAAAACAACAGCATTTATAACACATCCCCTAAGGAAGGAACAAAACCAGTACTGTGGCCAAAATGCCCAGAGCTGCCCTGTGCCAGCATTCATCCCACTGCCTCCTCTGAGGATTCACGCTGGTTTAAGCAATCACAGGTGGTTTTACTTCCAGAAGTTCACAGAAAGAGCTTCATACAGGCTGGGCAGGGAGTCAAACATTTTCTCTGATGTTAAACTGGTTCTGACATCTGCCTTGTCATAAACATGCAGATCCTGGATGATGGAACATGGCAATTAAATCCTGCATGGCCCAGGAACTCGCAGGGAAGCCCAGGTAGCAAACACACAGCACTCGTGTACATCAGTGCCTGGAGCCAGGCATTGGGGTCAATTTACCAAAAAGGAAATGACAAAACCACAACAGCACACACCCTAAAACAAACAAACAAACAAGAGTACTACTTATGTATTTTATCTTATGATAAAATACATTCTATGCCACATAACATGGGTTGTATGCACATGTTATATATGATGCTATCATGATATATGCATGATGACACAAACACAAAATACGGAAGCGTGCAAAGGAAGAACTGTCAGAATTCCGTCCATTGTCACAGACACACCCTCTTTTCCTCCAAGAACAGCGCAAGAGGTTATGAAGAAGAGGCTCCTTCGAAAGGATGTCTCTTCAAGAAGAGCATATCATCAAAACAAACAAACAAAAACTTAATCAGCAACATTTCTGCCGTATTTCTACATCCGCCTATACCCCAGGCACGCTCCATTATTTCATCACAGAAGGAGCGCACACGCAAACAAACAAACGCGAGCCGGTCCTTTCAGTGACGCCTCTGCTGCGGTGGGAAGGCAGCGCGATGATAAACTCAGTCGCAACAGCCCATGCTTAGGCTAAAGAGCCTTTTAAAGGTGTTTAATCCAGAGCTAAGCCCACAAACATGTAACACCTCCGTGTGATCCTCCGGTCCCCCCACGCGGAACCGGCTTCCCTCCAGCAGCTCCTGCCCCAGCGTAGCCGGGGCTTGGATACCCCGGCAGGGAAGGGAAGGAAAGTCCCTCCTGCCCTGCCCTGCCCTACCGAGGGCGGGGAGCGCCGGGCTCCCACCTCCCCCGGGACCCTCCCCGGGGCAGCAGCCCCAGCCCGGCCCCGGGCGCCCGCCTCGCCCCGCCGTACCCGCCGCCAGCCCCGGAGAGGGTTCCCGGAAGGGAAAGCCAAGAATTTCCGGGAGGACGCCGGGCGGCAGCGCACGGAGGAGAGGGAAGGAACCGGCCGGGCCGGGAGCGGGGCCATGAACGGCTCGGCGAACTCGTTGCTGGACAAGGAGGAGCACCCGCTGCAGCTGGGCGAGAGCTTCGAGCGGCGGCCCAAGGCCTCCTTCCACACCATCCGCTGTGAGCGCCTCCCCCGCGGCCGCCTCTTCCTCCCCGCTCGCGTCCCGTCCCCCGGCTGCGCTGCTCCTTCTGCCGCGCCCACCCCGCTGCTCTCCTCGCCCCCTTCGCTCCGCCATCGCGGGGCTCCGTCCCCACTTTCTTACCCGCTCCCCTCCTGCCCCCTCATCGCCCGTCTCCCCCTTCCCTCCTGTCCCCTTCAGCGCCCTGCTACCCGCCGTTCCCCGCTGTCCCTCCACAGCCGTCTCCCCCTTTCCCGCTCCCTCAGCCCCCGTCTTTCCTCCCCACCAGTGTTTCCCCACAGAGGGGTCCCGCCGGGAGGAAGGGGAGGGTGGATGCTGGCGGGGAGGCGGTTTGAGCGAGACAGGCCAAGGCGAAGGAACAGCTTTAGAAAGTTTGCCATTAATCGCTCGGAAGCATGAAGAGTTCCTCCGTAAGGGGTGGCTTTGCCGTCTTGTTTTTTTCTCTTTGTGGCAATGAACTGCAGGACAGGTGCCACCGCAGGCCCGGCCTGGAGAGGCAGCCCGAGCATCCAGAGTTGGGTTTGTAGCTGGGTGTTTTCCTGATGAAGCAATGTGTGTCCCAGAAGAGCTCTCCCTGGCTGTCCCGGCTCCAGCCAGCTGTAATAAATCAGTATGCCAGGAAAGCAAGCAGAAGGGACTCAGACACATACAGTAATTCCTAATAAATGCAAGATAAATCCTGAGGTAGATTGTTTTGAAGAGGAACTCCTTGTATTACCACACATTAATTTTGTGGTGCAAGAAATCTGAGCAAAACTAGTCCAATTTTTATTACTAAAATGACTGGTAAACCACCAAGAGTAAATGTAAAGAATACTAAACTTATAATTTACTCGTTTTCTGTGAAAGTGGAGAATTTATACAAAAAGCAGTAGGATATTTTGGCTTATGATGCACAAATACAGGCCTGGTCTCATTGCCCATATTCATACACCACAAATAGTAGTTTCAGTGATACTGGTCACCCAAGTGCCTGATCCTGTGTGAATTAAACCCAAACTATATCCAGGTGGAAATATACTGGATTTCTAGAATGGAAAGTGCTTCAATAACCAATTTCCTACGGGATTGCAAAGCCAAAGGTCTTCAGACTACAACTGGAAGAATGCAGTTTTATTTCAGAAGATCTTTCTGAATGCTCTATTTTCCATCTGTGACTTTTAAATGAGATTTGTTCGTTGTCTTCGTATATTTTTCCCCTAACTGTTGTTCTGGAATGATTTATCTGGGTTCCAAACATTATATTATTGCCATAATCCTCTTCACACAAACTACAAAGAGAGGATTTTGTAGGACATATTTGTTTCAGCCTTCTTAAGATACTTCATTCTTGTACTGATAAACTGGATTATCCTTGAAAAACACATCTTGAAACATCTGATTTTTGGGAAAAGAGCTGTGGGTATATTTGGAGGGAAATATGTGCTCTCCATCTACATGAGCATGAGCCAGGCACATGCTAACAAAATGAAAACAATTAGTTGAGTGTTTGTTTAAAGTAACTCTATATTGCTGTGCCTAAGAAAGAAGTCTGGTAGTGATATTCCTTTTAAGTTGGTGACTGTGCTGTTGGAATTCTTGATCCCATTTTGGAAAGACACTATCTCTTGTACAGCTGGTTTATTTTATTTAGCAAGCTTGCACATAAAGTAGGTGGGAAACAATAGCTAGAAACAGATTGCTCAGATGAGCAATTGAAGGCTATGATTTGATCTGGCAGTTAAGGCATGAGAATTAAGTCAAGTGTGTCTGATTCTGCTTGTTGTGCTGTCAAAGTAAAACTCAGTTAAATATTAACATCCTCTTAATGAGAATTTATTACAAGTCAGGGTTGGGAGTTTTTCTCCTGCAAATGTGTTTTTCATAGTGGAATTATATTTTAAATTTGTTCTGAGGTATTAATTTCATAACTAATACAGTAATTAAAAGCCTCAATCGTTAATATAATTGCATCTCTTCAGATGCAGGGATGCTAGAGTTGAATGCAGGCTTCTTATAAAAACAAACACAAGGCAAACTAGCCTATAGCTGTGTGATTTTATTTCAGTTTGTCTAAATCCTCTCTCAAGATATTAGAGGTTCTGATAGGGTTTTTTCCTGTTATTTTATGGCTTACCAGCGCAACAGAATAATGAGGAGAAAATACTTTTAATTTAAAATATTCTTAGTTCAAATGAATACATTAAACAGAAGTGCCTTGGTTGGGAGACAAAGCATTGTACAACAGAGCATAAATACCTAAAACAAGTGTAAGTTTAAAGCCAGTACAGTGCCTCCCCTTACTGATCCTTTCTGTCCACAGTGGCTCTGGAGGAGCATGAAGCTGCTGAAGTAAGATCAGCACCTCTCTCTTTCCTCATAAGTGAGAGCTGAGATCTCCTCCACCCATGGGGAGCTTTTAGCACTACTGTGGAGGCAAGATGGCCATTAAAGAAATTACTGAAATATCAGTGAGACTAAATAAGTGTGTGTCATTAAATTGGTGTTTGTCACAGAGGAGTCCTCAGGGTTGCAATTGGCAAGAGCTAAGCAGAGCCCAGGGTTTTGGAAGTTGTTACTCTCTTGAGTTTGATTGGTACAGTTTTACACTTGCCTGTAAAACCAAGTGCCACTCAAAGCTACAGTTGTCTTGGCAGGCGGAGGTGGTGAGAGTGCTGTGACCTTCCCAGAGAAGTGTCTTTAAAAAGACATCCTGGGTGGAAGGGACAGAGTCTTCATATGGGCTTCCACAGAGGGGCTTTATTGAGCTCCTGCCAGAAAAGGGTGCAGGGAGCAGGAGTTTATACAGGGATAGCAAGGAGTGGGGCAGAACATCAGAACAAATGAGAGGAGGGCACAGGCGTGGAACAAAGGGGAAAGGCCAGTGGGACACATAGAATCAACATATGGCAATATCAATATGGCAATAATGCATTCTGGAGGAAGCTTTTTCCTCACCATGACCAGAGGTTGTTGCTTAAGGACTGTCCTTCAAGGGGACTGTAGTCAGCTTCTCAGCCAGTTTACCAGCCTCCACAAGTGTCATTAAATTAGTGTTTGTCACAGAGGAGTCTTCAGGTTTGCAATTGGCAAGAGCTAAGCAGAGCCCAGGGTTTTGGAAGTTGTTACTCTTTTGGGTTTGATTGGTACAGTTTTACACTTGCCAGTAAAACCAAGTGCCACTCAAAGCCTGGGGTTTGGAGAAGTCTGCTTTGGTGTTCGAACACAAGATCTACAACCTCATTTCTGTTTTAAAAGGGAAGCTCAGAGTCACAATGTACTGGTGTGTTAGTCCACCCTGCTGTAAACACTAGTGTGTGTTTAACTATTCCCTATAATCACAGTAAATGTATGGTGGCTCTTTGCAGGGCACATTGATGCTTCTGGAGACTCTAACAAATGTAATCACAATTGTTTTCCTCTTTAGATGATTTTAAGCCAGCATCGATTGATACGTCTTGTGAGGGGGATCTCCAAGTGGGTAAAGGAGATGATGTTACCATCACTTTGCCACATATTCCAGTAAGTCTCTTATATATGTGCTCCTGTTTACTCTCCAACAAATTTGCATTGTTGTTACATTCTAATATAAATGCTATTTTCACTTTCTTTATTAACACTGTGGGTTCAATATTTAAGCAGCCAGACTTATAGTTTACCACCTTAGGAAAGGACTGTACAGTTGGCTCTTTATAAAGGGCTATATTTGTAATGTTGCCAAATTGTTCTTTACTTTTGATTCCTTCCTTCCTACTCTTCCTTAAAAGGCAAGGAGACTTTTACTATTAGCTGGAGCTGTACACCTGGTTCCCATCCATTTTTAATGCTGTGTAAAGGCAATGTCACTCGAGCTTCAGTCAAGGTTGGATGTTCAGAACCCACAGGCAGACCTGTAAGCTCCTGCCTTTCTCAATCATGTACAGATAGGGCATAGAGGGTTCCCTGCCTTTAGCTTCATCAGTGGAAGCAAGGGGACAGTCCTGGTGAGTGGCCATGAAGTAGTTTCCCATCCACTTCCTTCCCTAATGATGCCATAAAGATCTACTGTGTGAGGATGATGGTCAAACAGCAATAAAACAAGTGATCAATCTCTTCAGAGGTGCAGCTGGTTTGTAATTGAAGGTTCAGTGGTTTCCTTACCAAAACAAAAGAAAGTGCTCATGTGCTGGAACTAGATTTGCTTATTAGCTGAAGTTGATGCTATGTGTCAAGCCAATAAACCAGAATTCACAGACATCAATGGGTCTGGTAGCTGCAGGGGGCACCAGTCAGTTTGGAAGCCGTGTGTCAGATCCTTTTGGTATTGTTGTTCCCAGCACATCTGTGGTTTTAATTGGTAGGTGAAGGTACTGTGATAATTCTCACTGAGTGAAGCTGTAGCTGCTTCACCCTGCTCCTGTTCATTAGATGGCTTTGGTCACCATCAGTGCTGCAGGAGGTCACACACTCCTTTATGTGAGTTTTTGTCTGTAGAAATGGTGAGCATGGTAGTGCTATTGGAGAGCAGGTAACAGCACAACTAACAGCATTCATCTTGGATTAGTTGGAAACAGAGTTGCTCATTGATTTTTTTTGGGTTGAGCAGCATCACTTGTAATACTCCTTTTCAAATCTCTGTACTGAGGAGCTTAATTTGATTATCTTCCCCTCAGTATGAGCAGCCTTGAGTTTATGGTATGCTGCAAAGGCTGAGGCAGCCAAGCCACTCTGTGTATGTTGTTCCAAGGCAGTGCTGCCTGTGTTCTGGACAGAAAGCTGGAAAACACTTGGCATACTGGAAGAGAATGAGAGGTTTTGAGATCGTTTCATCCTGACAAGTTTCACTGAATTTCTT